TCGGAAGAGTGCGCGGGAAGTAAGAAAAATATTGCCAAAGACGCGGGATGCATTGTTGTTTCCATGGACGTGTGACTGCATCACGCAAAGAAATGTAAGTCTTTATATCAGCATAATCTTAAGTTGTAAATAAATAGTGCAAGATATAAGTCATTGTTTTTCTATGTTTTATTAGTGATTATTTAACTTTAAATTAATTTAATTTTTGTGAGAAATAAAATATCCTACTGTTGCAACAGTAAAGTTGGAGTTTACCGAATCAAAACTCCTTTTGTAAGACACGAAATTTAATAAAGTGTCACTAGATTCGCTGTAGCTTCTTTCACTCCAAGTTAGATTAGGGTATCTTTGATACAGATAGCATCAGTAGGCTGTGCCACTAGGACACATGTTCGGGTCTCTATGTTTAGCCACCTCAATGTGTTGAGACCTGGTAATTGGTATTGTTTTCCAAAGATAAATCTTTGGAAAATGATATCAAGCTAAGAGCTACACACAAAGTTTAAGATATTTGCTATTTGTTGTAAATTTTCAATGTTCCCTTTGAACTTTATCAACTTTCCATTTTGTTTAACAAAATTGTATTTTTTGTTCATATATCGTTAAATGTTAGCTCCATTGGAGTAGAAATTATAGTCCATAGAAAGTACGCTCAACAGCATATTTTTAAATTTTGATAACAGCAAAAAAATAAATACAGCATAGATAGATCTATCTTTATACATTTTAGGAATAATATAAGAATGAAAAAAATTGAACAAGTGGAACAGATGAAATAAATGTATTTTTGAAAGTGTTCTATTTACATACATATACAATAAATCACATAGTGCTTTATCAACAATATTTTTAATCTGACCAGCAACTGTCAATTGTTTATGATATATTTCATTAGTTAACGACTTATTTAGTTAAAAAATATATAAACCCTTTGATCTAAGTATCTTTTAATCAGTATACATGTACCATACCATATAAGAATCTGATATTATATTAAAGAAAATATAAGCGTATAAACTTGAAATATTAGCAATAAATATAAGGATTTCATGAATCATGAAATACGTACTTTGTTCTTATATTTAACTAAGAATATTTAATGTTTTAAAAGGATACGTCCAAAATAACACATACGTCTGTTAAACAAATACAATAATTCTTGGTAAGGAAAATATGCACTTTAATAAATATTTAATGCTCGCATTCTTTTTGCTATTACATTATAAAGGATACAAAAAGGCCTCCAAAAAATCCACTGGTTAGGAGATTTCGTCTACTTATAAAATATTTTTTCCATTGACCTCCAGCTTTTAGTAATAACATTGCCTATAAAAAGTATTTTTTCTTTAATGTCTTTTAAATTAAAGCAATAGTTTTTAAATTCTTACCCATAATCCAAACACAGCAAAAATGTAAAAACCAAACCCATATAATCCTGTTAATCCTAATAAACCAGCTGTACCTCCTGATAATGCTGCCATTGATATCCTACAATATTCTACCACAGCAGCATTATTTACAACAGCTGATTCGCTATATGCAATGATCTCTAGAAAAAAAATTTAAGTTTAATATTAGAAAGTACATTTATTTAATACAAAATTAATATTATCTCTAATAGCTTACAAAAATTGAAACTATCTTATTTGTAAGGTAACAAACAAGTACAAGCAAAATTGTTTTAATAACGAGCTCTTTTATAAGATCTGTTTACGTATGACATGATTTTTTTACATTTAAATGCGATTGTACTAAATAAAAACATAACCTATGAAGTACTAAAAATATTTAATTCAATAAATTGCCAAATATGGTAAAAGAGATAGAATAATTAATAACTTTATATATACCTCCTTTTTCCTGTTTTGTTTTGATTTTTCCCAACATTATTATAGTTTTGATGATATTTAGTAAAAAATTTATATAATTTAACCTAACACATTCGTTAGTGACTATGTGTATACAGGCAAGTTCTTTTGTCGGCTGCTATGAGAAGGTACGTTTTGAAGTGCCATCTACCTAACATCAAGATTCTGTTATACGTAAGATTATTCAGATAATGTGCGGACGTCCGTTAGGAATCATTCGCATAAGAGGTAAGGGTTTAATATGTTATTATTATTATTAGTATTCCTTTGATTTTTAATTAAATAATTATATTTATATATTTTACAACTAAAGAATGTAATTCTGAAATACTTTTTATTCTCAACAGCTCTGTAGGATCGATCCAATTGTAACTGCAGATTACGTAAGATGTATGTTGTTAAATGTGTGAATATAAACGTATGTGTTTAATTTCTTCGTATGCCTAAAAGTGATCCTTGTAAAATCTTTGCATGCAAATTGCAGCAGTGTTTAAAAGGTATCTATTGATCGCATTATTTCATTCGAGATTATGAAGCATACTATTCCTAACCTATATTTGATTATGTTTAAAGTTGTAAATATACTAATAATTATCCAATTTTAGATAACGTATATCAACCATCGCGTTGTGAAGCAGTAATAGAGGAAATAAGACAGTGTTGCATCATACATGCTGCTGTTTCAATAGTTTGTGATGGTATAGATACTTCTAAACAATACGAACACAATACTGTAGACTATGTACGTATAATTAATAATCTTTTCATGATTTTTTCATTACTTTAAATGTTTATGAAATTATTATAATTTTATTTTGTTTCAGAAAAAAGCTCAGAGATAGAATTCATCATGTACGAGAAGAAAAAAAAATTGATTCGCCTATTTGCATTTACCTTTTTTCCTGCTTTTATTTCATGGAACATATATCTAATGACAAACCATCCAGAAATTCCAAAGAAGAAGAAATAGACGTAGATGTGATTTAACATTTTACCACAAGTAATGTATTAATAAATTACAAATAT